CATATGATAGTGGTTAAGGAAGAAATGTGGCAGATGTTGCAAGTATATGGAATAGGTATTAAGTTACTAAATGCTGTAAAGAGTTTTTATGAGGATAGTGAGGCTCAGGTTAGGGTGTGTAGGAGAGAGGGAGATTACTTCCCGGTAAAAGTGGGTCTTAGACAGGGATGTGTAATGTCACCATGGTTGTTTAATATATTTATAGACGTGGTTGTAAAAGAAGTAAATGCTAGGGTGTTGGGGAGAGGAGTGGGATTAAATTATGGGGAATCAAATACAAAATGGGAGTTGACACAGTTACTTTTTGCTGATGATACTGTGCAAATGGGAGATTCTAAAGAAAAGTTGCAAAGGTTAGTGGACGAGTTTGGGAGGGTGTGTAAAGGTAGAGAGTTGAAAGTGAACATAGATAAGAGTAAGGTGATGAGGGTATCAAATGATTTAGATAAAGAAAAATTGGATGTCACATTGGAGAGAGGGAGTATGGAAAAAGTGAATGTTTTCAGATATTTGGTAGTTGACTTGTTAGTGGATGGGTTTATGAAGGATGAGGTTAACCATAGAATTGATGAAGGAAAAAGGGTGAGTGGTGCATTGAGGTATCTGTGGAGACAAAAAACATTATCCATGGAGGCCAAGAAGGAAATGTACGAAAGTATAGTGGTACCAACACTCTTATATGGGTGTGAAGCTTGGGTTTCAAATGCTACAGAGAAGAGGCAGCTGGAGGCAGTGGAGATGTCCTGTCTATGGGCAATGTGTGGTGTAAATATTATGCAGAGAATTCGGAGTGTGGAAATTAGGAGGTGTGGAGTTACTACAGTAAAAGTATTAGTCAGAGGGCTGAAGAGGGGTTGTTGAGGTGGTTTGGTCATTTAGAGGGAATGAATCAAAGTAGAATGACTTGGAGAGTGTATAAATCTGTAGGAGAAGGAAGGTGGAGTAGGGGTTGTCCTTGAAAAGGTTGGAGAGAGGGGGTAAAGGAGGTTTTGTGGGCGATTGGCTTGGACTCCAGCAAGCATGTGTGAGCGTGTTAGATAGGAGTGAATGGAGGCAAATGTTTTTTGGGACTTGACGAGCTGTTGGAGTGTGAGCAGGGTAATATTTCGTGAAGGGATTCAGGGAAGATGGTTATTTTTACATAGCCGGGCTTGAGTACTGGAAATGGGAAGTACAGTGCCCGCACTTTAAAGGAGGGGTTTGGGATATTGGCAGTTTGGAGGGGTACGTTTCATATGCTTCTAAACTGTTGTATCTTGGAACCTCTGCAAAGACAGTGATTATATGTCAGTGAGGTGAAAATGTTGAATGATGATGAAAGTATTTTCTTTTAGGGTATTTTCCTTCTTTTTGGGTCACCCTGCCTCGGTGGGAGACGGCCGACTTGTTGGAAAAAAAAATAAGTGGAAACCTGTTTGAATGAATGACGGTCCTCAGTGTTTTTGTTACATCTAGGAGTTAACATTGTCACCGATCACTTTCATACATGCAGCTGTGAGGCACTTTTATGCTACATTGGCAAATTTAACCAGTCTTGGTAGAATACTCAAGTAGAATCCAGGTGGTGGTACAGTAGCAAATAGTTGAAAGGCAAGAAAAACTTATGTTGGGCAATGCATACATAGATACTTACAAAAGAGCAATTTTAATAGCTCACTCTAGATGAGCTATTAAAATCTTAGAAAAGTTTCATTTTTGAGTAAAATGTGAAGCGGAAGTTTGTATTACCCAGGTGATAGCAGGTGCTGCCACCACTGCAAAATGTTAAGATGCCAAAATATTGAAGGTGGTACACTGTGAACATAGCTTCTCTCCTGAAATTACAATGTGTATGTACACATTGGAGTGTGAGCAGGGTAATATTTTGTAAAGGATTCAGGGAAACCAGTTAACGGACTTGAGTCCTGGAGGTGGGAAGTACAGTGCCTGCACTCTGAAGGAGGGGCTTGAGATATTTGCTGTTGAGAGTGACATCTAAACTGTCTTATCTGCAGACCTTTGTCAAAACAATGATAATGTGAATGATGGTGAAAGCATTTCTTTTTCGGGTCACCCTGCCTCAGTGGGAGATAGCCAGTGTGTTAAAAAAAAAGTATACATGCATGCCAGTCACACTTGTACACACCTTATAATAATAATAATTCATATTAGTATTTACTGTGCAAGTGTGACTGGCATGCATGTATACTTTTTTAACACAGTGGCTGTCTCCCACTGAGGCAGGGTGACCCAAAAAAGAAATGCTTTCACCATCATTCACATTATCACTGTCTTGACAGAGGTGTGCAGATAAGATAGTTTAGATGTCACTCTAAACAGCAAATATTCCATGGGGAAGTAGAACAGAATTCTTCCTCAATAAGCCATGCGTGTCACAAGAGGCGACTATAATGCCAGGAGCAAAGGGCTAGTAACCCCTTCTCCTGTATATTTTATTAAATTTAAAAAGAGAAACTTTCATTTTTCTTTTTGGGCCACCCCGCCTCAGTGAGATATGGTCGGTTTGTTGAAAGAATAATAATAATAATACGTAATAATAAAAAAATAATAATAATAATAATAATAATAATAATAATAATAATAATAATCTTTATTTCTACAAGTACATGTACAAGGTATACAGGCTCAGGAGACATCAATAACATACTACTATATAGAAAGCCTCTTGTTATGAAGAGCATTTTGGGCAAATTAGGTCAATTTTGTCTCCAGGATGTGGCCCACACCAGTCGACTAACACCCAAGTACCAATTTTACTGCTAGGTGAACAGGGACAGCAGGTGTCTTAAGGAAACACATACTAGTGTTTCCACCCATACCAGGTATTGACCCCCGGACCTCAGTGTGTGAGCAATGGTCCCTTCTCTGTTGATGGCAAGAAACCCTGCCACTTGTCACTGTAAGTATTGTAGAATACTGAAATTGCTGGAGAATGATAGTTAACATTTAGTAATAGACTGGATGCTCACTTTGTTATCTTTATTAGAGTAAAGAAAACTAGGCCACCTCAAAATGGGTAACAGTTATAAGTGTCAGTTTTAAGAGTTTGTGATCCCTATATAATAATTTGTAAATCTGTCACCTAAGAGGGTAATTTAATGAATATACTGATGATCAGTGATACAAGTTGTGAAAGAATTTTTTAAGTGCAGTTGATGCATCCTTGTGAAGAATAAAGAAGGTACAATACTGTGACTGAAACAATACACAGATAATTCACAAACAGGAGACTTAAACTTTTGACAACACTTTGGTTCAATTACGACCATCATGTATTAGTTAATGGGTAGCTAATGGTCGAAGTTGAACTGAAATGTCATAAGTTTCAGGCTTCTGTTTGTACAGTGCATTTTTTTAATAACACACTGGTCATCTCCCAATGAGGTAGGGTAATTCAAAAATGGAGAAACATGTTCACCATCACTTACTCCATCACTCTTTCCAGAGGCATGCCTACACTATAGTTCAAAACTTCAAGTATCTCCACCAATTTAGAGTGCAAGCACTGTGCTTCCCACCTCCAGGATTCAGTTCTGACTAACCGTATGCATTCTTGTCATTGAAATTATTATTTTACTGTTTAGTTTTTTTAGTAATTGTTACAAGATTTATTTCAAAGTCATTGTGGATCTTAGAATTTTAAATCAAGGTACAGGAGGAGATCTGTATAGTAATGTACTGCAATGTTCTTTCTAGACATCGGGGAGGGATGCTTGATGAATGCATCCAGGAGGGGTGGGATACAGGAGGGCCCCACTTATACAGCAGGTTAGGTTCCTAGCTACTGCTGTGCAGGTACTCCTCACTTAACAACCAAGTTCCATTCTGCATTCACTTTTGAGAACACACCTGCTAACCCCTGTACAGTGAATTTCTTTTGTACCTCTTCCATTCTTTCCTCTTCTTCCTTTTCCAAGTGCTGCTGCACTTCCAACTCTATTAAATCTTTGTTAATTAACTCTCCCTCAGCCAAAGTTCTCCTACAGCATACAATAGCGACTGGTTGGAGAGTTGGTCATAAGTCCACGAGGTTATTAAACAGGTAGTCAGTTAGTGAGGGGTGTCTGTAGAACAAAAAATTGCTGTAAAGTGAAACAAAGTCTTTTTTCACTTTCAAATGCATATAAAAGCCTGATGATAAAAAAAGGCACAATACCGTGACCGGAACAATACACAAATAACCCACACGTAGGAGAGAGGAGCTTACGACGATGTTTCGGTCTGACTTGGACCATTTACAAAGTCACACTGTGACTTTGTAAATGGTCTGAGTCAAACCGAAACATCGTCGTAAGCTCCTCTCTGCTATGTGTGGGTTATTTGTGTAAAAGCCTGATAGTATGTTTACACTATCATATATTCAGTGAGCAACAAAGTTAATCCTAAAAAATGCATATTCTACAATACACACATTACTTACCTTAAAATATTTTCATACTTGGCTTATAATGAGTATGTTTACACTATCATATATTAATTAAGTGAGCAATAGAGCTAGGCCTAAAAAATGCAAATACAATACACACATTACCTACCTTAAAATATTTTCGTACTTAAAGTGAGTGGTGAATATATTCAATGTAGAAAGCCTGAATAAATGACAAACAGTGTTAGGTTACCGTTCTGTGCAATGTTAGGTCAGTATCATTGCAAGTAGTTATTGTACCACAGTATTTAAGAATTCCAGTTCTGGGAGCCAAATTATAACATGCTGGAATGAGTCTAATTTGTGAAGCCATTCACTAAAAACTGGCAGGATATAAGCAGGGTTTATGGATAAAAGAGATTAAATGCTGAACTTTCACGAGGAAGTCTGTTTCAGTACTACACTAAAATATGAAAAGTGGGAAATGAAGTTTGCATGGAATTATATCAATTATTGTAGTTTGAAATGGGTAGAAAGCATTTTATTTTATACTACAAATTACAAATTCCTGCAAAGCAAGACATATAGCATAAACTGGATTAGCAATGGAGAGTCATTACTTAAATTTATACAGGTCAGTATCGTTGTGGGCCAGCATCTTTAGCTGCTGTGAAGAATGGACATATCAAACTACCATATGATATACCTTTTATCTTTGCCGAGGTAAATGCTGATAAGTTGTTCTGGAAGTATCGTGGACCTAACCAACCAATGAAGCTTCTGGGACGCAAGACTGGCGGGTAAGTTAATTCTGCAAGTTTTTTTGCTTTTGTGGGTGTATATAGCTTAGTTGGAAATGCCAAAGGATGTATCATCTGTTTTATATTAATAGTAAGCTTGATTTTTTTTTAATTAATGTCTGTTGTATTGGGTTACATTTGCAGCATTGGTCAGTATGTGAGTACAAAAGCAGTGGGCAGGTACATGCGTGAAGATGTTACACATCTTTACAAATTTGAAGAAGGTAATGTAACTCCCTTGAATTCCTAATGTTTTTCTGTAGCCTTTTCCCTGTTCCATTCTCTACAGCTTGACAACACTTAATACATTACTGTATCTCATATATATCCCAAAGAAAAATTTATTTTTAATTAGCCATTTGCAGTATACTGTTTAAATTTACTTGAGTGTTTCCTAAGTATAACTGATCTCTGGAAATATTAAATTGAACTTTAATTTAAAGCACAAGGTAGATTTAATTTTGTAAACTTTAAGAAAATGGTATAGTATTTGATATTTATTGGCAATAAAAGGAAATGCACTGTTATATTTTTGTTCAAAGTTAGGATGATTCAGTCTAATAGTTGCATTATGCACCTCGTACCCATCCTGTGGGCAGTACTGTGTACATTAGCAGCACATAATTGGTTCAGGGACTGGGCCCCAAGGTTCTGTTAAATGAATTATAAGATTAAAGAACTGGTTACAACACTAGTGCCATATGAATATTGTATTACAATGAGACATGTAGGAGATACAGACAGAAGATTTGTCTTTTTAAATCTTGATTCACTGTTTAAATTTTCCTTGGGTTTTATCATGTGCAGTGCCATTTTCAAAGTTTATTAATAATTTTGGCCTTAGTATACATGATTATAGAATAGTATACTTTTTTATGTTGTATCTCTGTATTTTTTGGTATTGCAGTGGTCTTTTGTTGTATTAATGTTGACCAAAATATGAAATGCCTCCTTTTTTTTCACACGTGCTACTTAAATGCTAAATATATTTTGCTGAATTTTATAGATTAGGATTGAGACCAGTCCCACTGGGGATAGTAGAAAGCTTTATGTAAAGTATTGCACTCTTAGATATACATAGATAGACATAATTGGAAGTAATTAGTTTTATGTAAATTATTTTATCAGTAATACTCAGAAACTTTGAAAAATAGCACTGTAATGTATGCATGTAAGCTGTAGCTGAGATTTGTAAAAGATGTAAGGTTACCTAAAATATTATTCTAAGGGCTAAGGAGAGGCTGCTAAGGATTTGGACAGTAAGAGAGAATAGAGCAAATTAAGATGACTAGGAGGGTTTATAAATATGAGGTGGGGCAAAAGAGGGATAGGGGTTATCCCAGGAAATGTTGGAGGGTAGGAGGTAAAGAAGGTTTTGAGTGTTAGAGGCTTGAACATCTATCAGATTTGTGTGAGCACATTAGATAGGAATGAGTAGAGGCAAGTGGCTTTTAAGACTTGATATGCTGTTGGAGTGTGAGCAAGATAACATTTATGAAAGGATTCAAGGAAACCACTTAACTGAACTTAAGTACTGGATGTGGAAAGTAAAATGTATACACCTGGAAAGAGCGGTATGGATGTTGCACCTCAGAAGGCCTTCTGAACTGTGATGTCAGCATATTTTTGACAAAACAAGTGATTGAATGGGTGTTACTGAAAGTGTTCCCTCTTTTTCAGGACACCCTGTCTTGCCAGAAGTGTAGACATTACACTTTAAATGACCCTCCAAACTGTAATATTCATATCCGTCCGTCAAGGTGGAGCCACTATGATTTCCACCTCCAGAACTCTAGTCTAGCTAACAGGCTCCTTCTTAAATGTTACCCTTTTCAGACTCCATTAGAATATCAAAGCAATTAAACTATTAGTCTCCACTCACTCTGATCTAGACTAGTATGTTCATGCATGGCTGTTGGATGCTCAAGACCCTACCCATTGAAACCTACTTCACAACTTTCCTCCAACTCTTCCCAGGATGATCCCCTACCCTTCCTTCCTTCCTTCCTTCGGCCTCTGATTTATACACCCTCTTGGTCATCCTATTCTGCTCCATCCAGGTTAAATACCTAAACTACATCAATGACCCCTCATCCACCCTATGAATAATACATTGCCTTTTGTAATCCTACACTTTAAATTTCTAGGGTCCAAATTCTTTACATAATATTGAAATGCAGTAATAAAAATATAATATCCAGTCTTGTAACAGTACAGGACAGTCTTATAACTATGCAATTCATTGTATCCCATAATTGCACCAAAAAAATTTGATGTGAATGAGATAACACCTAGGTAGTAGGTTGGTAGACAGCAACTGCCGAGGGAGGTACTACCATCCTGCCAAGTGAGTGTAAAACAAAAGCCTGTAGGATTGCTGGTGTCTTTTTTGTCTCATAAACATGCAGAATTTCAGGTACATCTTGCTACTTCTACTTACACTGAGGTCATACTACACATGCATGTACAAGCATATACATACACACCCCTCTGGGTTTTCCTCTATTTTCTTAGTAGTTCTTGTTTATTTCCTCTTATCTCCATGGGGAAGTGGAACAGAATTCTTACTCCGTAAGCCATGCGTGTCATAAGAGGCGACTAACATGCCGGGAGCAAGGGGCTAGTAACCCCTTCTCCTGTATATGTTACTAAATGTAAAAGGAGAAACTTGTTTTTACTTTTGGGCCACCCCGCCTCGGTGGGATACGGTCGGTGTGTTGAAAGAAGAAAAAGTAAGATAACACTTCTGTCTGACTACAGATTCGAGAGAAGAACGTGCTGTGGTGCGTAATGCCCTTCGGATGTGTGAAAACCTCTTCGCTAGGTACTATCTCAATGAGGAGTTGGAAGACATAGAGTTCGACTTCCAAATGAAGGATGATATTATTATTGGTCAACCTTTCACGTAAGTATTAAATCCTATGCTACCATGAATACTTCTGTTTGTGTAGAGAAGACTAAGTCACAGTAACATGAGATTGGAACAATTCACTAAAAACCCCAAACATGAAAAGAAATTTCAATCTATCCTGTACCATGTATTTGTGTTATGTGAATTGTGTAAATTTATTTTGCTTTTATATTACATTCAAGTACCAGTTGCTGTAATCATGTTTATCACTAGTACATATTATAAAAATTAGTCTTCCTGGATTCAAAGATTAGAAAACTTACTCTGGCATTATCAACAAAACAAATGCCATTTTTTTTTTTTTTGAAGCTTTTATATTTGTAGGTGCCAAACCTTATTAACCCTTTCAGGGTCCAGAGGCCAAATTTCAAAGTGCACAACAGTGTCCAAGAATTTTCAAAAAATAATTTTGTTATTTTCTCTTATGAAATGGTAGAGAATCTTTTTCTGAAGGTAATAAAACGAAAAGTACGAAATTTGATGGAAAATTTATGAACTTATGCTCTCACGAATTTTGATGTGTCAGTGATATTTATGCATCGGTGATTTTGCCAACTTTGACTCCCATTTTAGGCCAGTTACATTATTCCAGTCAACCAAATTCTTAGCTATTTCTCTAGTATTACTTCTATTCTATCGATTGAACACAAGAAATCCCCAAGTCAACTGTTTCAACTACAAAATAAAGTGATTGGAAATTTGACCAATTTAATGCAAAGTTCAAAATATTCCAGTTTCAAAATAAGGTCCAGAATAAACAATGAAGGCATTCCTGGCACTAAACTAACATTTCCTCTGTTCATTAGTTATGTTTTCAGGCTTTACAAATGAATTCCATTTTTATTTTTTATTCACATAATGAATTTTATTCAAACCAAAAAATAGAAGATTTACTGTTATGCAATACTGTAATAATTGTATAAATAATATCACCACATTTGTGAATGTATATTAGACCCACCAGCTGGCGTGTATTAGACGTTTGAGGTCATTTGTTTACTCTTGAACATCGGCAAAAATTTAACATTTCCGCTACTTTGAGCTCGGTTCCAAGCCATTTCCTGTACTATAACCAATCAAAATCATCTCTATTTCTGTAATATATCGTTCATTCTATCAAATGAGACCAAGAAATCGCAAATACAACTATAAAAAACATACATAAAAACACTGCAAAATCACTGTTTTAATCGAAAATTATGGTCTCAGTTTTTTTCTCTCATTATGCACTGTGTGCTGCAGGATTTGTTTTATGTGGTGCACACATACCACATAGATGTATTTTCTCATATCTAGGCCCAAATTTACTGCTAACAGCTTATCAGAGTGAGCTGACCTCATGGCGTAGATCTATGGTTTGGACCCTCAATGTAAAGCCGTAGATCTACGGCACAGACCCTGAAAGGGTTAATGAACAAGTTTCAACCTGGTCTTGTCTATCTACCAGGCCAAGAGATTACTCACACCACACAAAGATTTGCTCACTTCTCTGAATTGACAGACTGTGCAGTACTGTAATACTATGGATCAGTTAATGCCTATTGTGGTAAACGCTTTATTCCACTATTTAGAATGATTAACAAAAGCTGTAATAAGCCTGAAATGAGATGTATTGATGTATGTGAATGATCAGTTCTGTGGTACAGTATACATGCTACTCATATATCAAGCATGATACAATTCTATAGTTTACTGCCTATTTGGAGACTACATGAAACTTGTATATTAGTACTGTTTTCTTTTACTTATAATCTCAGGTGGTACTGCCAAAGTAAAAGCTTTTTTTTCACATGAATACTCTCTTTTGTAACGTTGACACTATTGGTCCTTGACTGTAGCCTTTCATCTAGGTTGGGAAAGACAAGCTATAATGATGTAAATTCTTGTGTAATATAATTTCCAATAAATTTTATGCTTTCATCAGTAACTTCACCAGTACCCTTGATACAAACTTCAGTATGCATATAGTTTATACAGTAAGTATATTTATGTGGTTAATTGGCAGATCTTCAGTGGTGGTGCAAAACAAGAGTGACAAGGAATATGATGTGGAGATCTTACTGCGTGCAGACACAGTGCTATACACAGGTGTTACCAAGGATCTTGTCAAGAAACACACACAAGATCTTTTGATAAAACCATACTCAAGTATGTTTAACACACTTTCAGTAATTAGTTATAAACCGTTCTGGAAAATTAAAAGACTGATTTTACTAAAGTCATCAACTGAAATATGGTAAAAATTTTGTTTAGATTATAGTATTGTATGCTATTAAGCACTAAGTAAAAGTGGTTTAACTGTTATTAGGATACCACATTATCCTAAAATTGATAGAATTTTATAAAAGTTTGCCGGAATGCAAAATTATTAAATTTTAAACTTGATCTTTTGTTTGTATTATACAGTACCATGCAGTAGTTGATAAGTTTATATTCAGACAAATGACATTTTCTATGTGTTTCTTTACTTCTGTTTAAGAGGAGACAGTGGTGCTAGAAGTGAACTTCAATGAATATTACTGCAAGCTGGCAAATCAGTGTGCTTTCAACCTTGTCTGTCTTGGCAAGGTCAAGCAGACTAACTTTGAGTACTTTGCTCAAGATGATTTCCGCTGCAGGAAGCCTGATATTAAAGTTGAGGTGAGTTGACTCTAATAGCTCCGAAAAATATTTGTAGATCACTAAACTTTGCTTCCATAATTTATAAGGAAAAACTTACCAGTTTTCCATTTGCTAAGACCTTTTAACTCTTCCCAGCCTTAATTATATTTCAGTATTTATAGTTATTGATTGCAGATATGTATAATAACCAGTTTCTTATGCAGTATGAAGGTGAGATGGCAGTGAATGTGGAGACAAAGTGCAAAGCCTACTTTACCAATCCACTTCCAATGGTGCTCACTAAAGGATACTTCATCGTGCAGGGTGCTGGACTAACCAAAGTTCAGGTCATCAAAGTCAAAGAGTAAGTATTATTATTATTATGATCAAAACTAAGTGCTAAACCCACAAGGGTCATACAGTGCTGCCAAAGGTTATGATCATATGTATGTGTATACATTTGGCATTCTAGGGCATGAATTGTAACTGGAAGGTATGTTTGGTTTTATACCTCAAGATATACTGTACATTGTTTTAAGGATTGAAGAAAGGTTACTCAGTTACAGTACAATAGTGCCTGCAGTCTGAAAGTAGGGTGGCAAATGTTAGTATGGAGGTCATTTTAATTGTGATGTCAATGCATTTCTTTCAAGACAGTTATTGAATGAATGATGAGGAATATTTTATTTTTTGGAGGGGCAGCACCCTACTTTAGTGGGAGATGGTTGGTGTGGTAAAAGCTAAAAAAGAACATCAAAATTTTCACCTATTCGATAGTGTATATTGGTTGTGGTTTAAAGAAATTGCTATACAAATCGACACTGGCTACACTATTTTAGTCATTTGACAAATTTGCTTTGAGGCAAGACATTGCAAGACAAAAATTTTGTTAATTTAGCAAGTGTCATTGTGTAACTTGTTGGGCTGACAGTAACATACAGCTTTTGTACTAGTTTCACCGATAATGATGTGTGGTGGTCTAAGTATTTGGTTAAAGGTGTATATTGCTTTATTTTTTTATTATTTTTTTTTATTATCACACTGGCCGATTCCCACCAAGGCAGGGTGGCCCGAAAAAGAAAAACTTTCACCATCATTCACTCCATCACCGTCTTGCTAGAAGGGTGCTTTACACTACAGTTTTTAAACTGCAACATTAACACCCCTCACTAAAACTATCTTTTCCATCCCTTTTGAATACTATTATTAGAACCATGAAGGTGGCTTTGGGTCCAATACGTTCTCTACTATGATGGAAAAGTTTGGGCACTCGGCGTCACAATGAAAAATTAGTGTCCTCCTTCAGGACTATGACCTGTCATTACAATGTTTTTTTGGCTACTAAACTCTGGGCAGTGGAGTTGTGACCGGGTTCTATTTATGCTTATTATGCTTATCCTTTCTCACCCCATAAGGGGTGATGTGGGTATCTTGGGCTGTGGTATCATCCATCAGTCAGGTTCGTCTGTGCTGGTCCCCTGCAGGTTTTGGCCATATGATTTATCTTGCAGGGGGATCTAACTGTGCTCCTTGTACTTTCCAGACTAGGTTTTAGACTGCTCTGCTCTTGTTGCCCTAATATGCAAGTTACCCATTCCTCCTGCATAACTTTAATGCCTACCACTCCATGTTAGTTGCTTTGTGATTACAAGGACTATTGGATTGTGCACATTGCTCATTACCACCTCAGGATTCATTATTCACTTAACCAGTAAACTGCTGTACCAGCTAGTGTTTGCCATCAAAAGGGGAAGGTCTTCAGAAATGCTGCACAAATATCCTGGATCCATTATGTGGAGGGGTTAACTCCATCACTCATCCTGGATGGCTTAGGAATAAATAGATGCGTGAGAAGCAGTGCTTTCAGAGCCCACTGCCCTGCTTTCTCCATCCATGATGGATGATAAATGACACTTCAGAGGTACTCGTCACCTTCACTGGAGGAGGTGCTGTGGAGGACTCTTTGGAGCCTTGTGATCTATTTGAAACTGAAAAATTGTAAACTAGCTCTGAGGTTAAAATACATTATTCCATATTGAGGCACCTCATTTGCTATTCTTATTTTTTATTGTATTTGTATAGGTGTGGCACTTAGATACAGTTGGTGGCAGTTTGTTTGTGGTTCTGGTCATCCCCAAATCAGGCACAAACCCCAGGGAGCCCACAATCCACTTGTCAATCTCTAATGAGCTGCATCTGCAAATTGTTCGAGAGGATGTTTAACATTCATTGTTCTCTTACTAGGAGGTTAAAGGCTGCATCTTTTTGCTGCATTTTGGCTTCCACAAGTTCTTGCTAATGACTAACACCTTGGTTTGTCTAACTGGTGATGTCCAGGAGAGTTTTGCCAAATGCCTTCATACCCTGGTAATTTTCTTTGACCTTGAATGCATGCCACAATGAGAAAGTTCAGCACACTGCTGTTCCCAGATTTTGGAGCTGCAGGGTATGCTGTTATTGTTTATAATTTTCCAAGTAATGGGTTGGTAATGGCTAGGATTAGTTTGTGCTGGTCAGTGTTGCCCCTAACAGTCGAGATCTTGTACGTTGATGCTCTTGCAGTTTATTGCTTGGCATCCACTCCTGAGATGGCCTGTCATTGACTTCAGGAGCTGGTGGACAATATCACAGAGTGGGCTGCTTCTGGATAGTGACTTTCTATCTTAACCAGTTCAGCTTGATACAGCCAGCTCCCCATGTGCTACTTCATGGTGTGATTCTTTCCTATGAGGAGCAAGTAACATTCTTGGGACTGCCCCTTGATAGGGGCCTCTCATCTAAAGAAGCTTGAAATGGATACTCTGCAAACATTAGACGTTTTAAAGGTGCTTTCCCACCATACCTGGGGGCAGATTGATGGGTCATGCTCTACCTGAATGCTGCCTTGTTTCATTCCAGGCTTGGGTGTGGCCCCAGATCTATTCTTCGGTTTGTCCTTCTCTGGTGCAATTGCTAGATCCTGTCAATCACCTAAGGATATGGCTGTGTGCTTGGGCATTCTATACTTTTCCTTTTAAGAGCATCTGTTGAGTTTGGTGAGCTTTCCCTGGACCTCTGCTATGAGGAGCTTGGACGGCATTATCTATTTCTGGTTCTGCATACACTTAAGAACTCTGCTTATACTATGATCATTTTAGCACCGTTTAACCAACGAGTGAGGCGCCCCATGCTCTGCAACCACATAGGTGTGTAATCACCTATGTGGTTGCCAGATTCACTTCCTCTTGGCCTTATGGACCCTGTTATACTTGCTTTTGAAGCTGTGTATGGAGTTTACCTCCACTACTTCTTTGTCAGGGCCGTTCCACCTCCTGACCTCCATAACATTTAATGCTTCCTGACATCCCTGTGGCTCATCTGTATGTTTATCTTTCAGCTGTGCCCTTGAGTACCAGTATTTTTGATTCGTGTGACTGTACCCTCTCCTCATAGCTCATGTTTTCTCAAGTGTGGGTTACATGCCACTGTTAGATCCTCCAAGATGGGCCTGACATGCATTATATAAAAAGGGCCCAGGATGGCTAAGGTTCCTGAAGTCCACGTTTAGATTTGCCATGCGAGCACTAGCTGTAGATATTATACTGTTGATGCAAGCCTCTGGCAGTGAATCTGGTTTGTAGTTCAGTGCTTTTTCCTGACTCCTTTCTTAAGTATAGGGTCTACATTTGTTGTCGTCCTGATCTCTGGCAACTGTCTTGTGTCCATAGACTTCTTGTAGATCTTAGCTAGTGGGTTGGACAATGCTTCTACCCCTCTTGCAGAATACGTGGTGACAATGACACCTTATCAAGTTCCATTGCTTTTCAACTAGCCAGCTCCATCAAAAGTATTTTTTTTTTACCTCTTTCCCTTGTGTGTAGTGTCCAGTACCTGTTGCTGTGCTCTTTCTCCTATGCTGTCATTGCTTCTATTTGCACTGAGAAAATTTCTAAATCATTTGTTCAGTCCTTTGTAGGCTTCCTTGTGTGCATTCAGAGGTGGGACTTTCTCCCTGCCTTCCTTGGATAGTGCCTGAGATATGTCTTTGCAAGCAGCAGATGGGCTCACCCGAGTGCCAAGCTCTAGTGATAACCTTATCTAATGTCTTCAAGCATGATTTGGTTTATGCTTTCAAGGATCAGGGTTAAAGAGTGGGAGTGGTGTTGGCTTTGCAGTAGTTGCTGGTGAAAACTCTTAGTGTGCATAGTTACAAAACGAATCCTCTGTGTTCACTGCAATGCTCTGTGCAATCCTTGCTGCTGTTGGCCTGATAGTCATTTAGGTAGATCCCAGTTCACTGTCTCCTCCAATTCTCATTGTACTTAGCTGGCCCTGGTTAAGTATGCTATTGTCAATCTTGTCGGCCAAAACATCCAAGAGTGGTTAGCTCCTATCCACACCAGACATAAGAACGGAGTTCTGTTGGTGGCTGAGCCATATTGGGTTTGCAGGAAATAAACAGACTGGAGACTGAGATGAAGGCTGCTATTTAACTTCATCTTGAGCAGAGTTCTACCTCTGTGATTTCATGAGTCACATGCATAGAAGTCATGGTCCCAAAGCGCCCCACACACAAGCAAAAAAGTTATACAGGGTTCAACATGATGTGGGTGTTTGACCCTTCTCCTTTAGCAGGAATCTTCACGGTGAAACAATTCTCTGTAGATTGAGGATAAAACATACTTCACCCATAGTCATCTGCTTGCAGATGTTCTGCCTCTCTCTCTCTCTCTCTCTCTCTCTCTGTGTGACTTGCCACACACAGATGACTGTGGAGAACACTGTAACTGTTTGCCTACATTTTCAGCCTTTTCACTTAAGTTGTGATTTTTATAATTACAGGGATGGCTGTAGGAACATAAGGGAATTTTAGTAGGATTTAATATTGCAAGTTTAATGGAGTTTCAACTGATGCACATAATTTTAACTCGTAATATTATTTGTGGTGTGTGTTTTGTTTGTGCCATTATTTTTCATTTTTACTACATAGTTTTAATTTGGGTGTCGTTGTGTGTATTTTTTCCTTTTAACAGAGAAAACCACTCAATTATGTCATTACCATTAACATACAACATGTTCTTTAAATCTCTCAACTTATTACTTCTTGGTTCTCTTCTACCCCTGGCCACACAGCTTAACCATGCCTGCCCCTCCACTGTTGTGGTTATGGTGACAGATGCAGCAGAGGTTCATGAATCTCTTCCTTCCTCCCTACTCCTCCATCCTTCCTCACTCCTTCCTCACATGTTGTAACTCTTCTTACAATGTCCTATGATTGGCCTAAATTCTCAAGATCCTTACAATTTGCCTATATCTCAAGCCCTCCTTGCCTTAGTCTTTCAATGCTATTGCATCACAACCCTTCCTGCCTTCTCCCCTGTTCCCTCACTACCTAAGATTTTTTCCATTTTACATATATTATAATCAAGGGAGAAGCGCTAAACCCGGAGGATTATACAGCGCCTGGGGGGGGGGGATGTGGAAGGCATTCAGGCTTAATTTGGGGAACTGGAGCACAGATCCAATTCCCTAAATCAAGAGCCCCTCACCAACATCAAGGAACCTTCCTTGAGGGGTTTCCATTTTACAGAAATTGAAATTATAGTCAAGATTAAAAATTTTAATCAAGATACCGATTTCCCCATAGATTCTAAACTAAGACTGCATTCTTAATATAGTCCTGTAAATCTCATAACACCTCTGGCACAGTTATAAAGTGCCTGCTTGTATAATGACCAAATGGAGGTACCATGCACAAATAACTCACACATAAAAGAGAGGAGCTTACAACGACGTTTCGGTCCGACTTGGACCATTTACAAAGTCACACTAACGTAAAGGAGAGCAGGATGGGTATATATAGGCAGGAGGTGGTAGTAGTGGAGGTGGAAGGAAGTAGAAAGAGGAGCACTGTAAGGGAGCTAGGTGCCCACAGAAAGTAAGAGCAAGAACAAAGAGGAGGAAAAACAAATAAATAAATAAAAGGAACAAATACACAGGGCAGAAGAAAGACAACCCAAAGGAGAAAAAAGAAAGAGGAAAAGGGGAAGAGGGAGAAGAAGAAAAGGAGGAATCAGGTTAGGTCATGAGTGTTCTGAAGTTTGGAGCATTTTACAATGTAGTGGGAGAGGAAGGCATCTACAGAGACGAAGCCAGGACTAAGATTCATGCAAGGAAAGTTGTGTATTAGGGAGAATTCAACAAGACGGCGACTGTTAAAGTTGGAAGTAGGGAAGACAGTTTTAGCAGAAGACCAGTCAATAGGATGGCTGTGATCTCTGGCATGACAGAAAAGAGCATTGTTAGTGTCGGCAAGCCTAACACTATTTTTGTGCTCCCTGAGTCTGTCAGAAAGAGAACAACCAGTTTCTCCAAAGTATTGAAAGTGGACAGGAGGAACAAGAAATAGAGTAGACACCAGGAACATCTGTAGAGGGAGGAGAGGTATGAACGAGATTAGTGCGAAGAGTGTTGGTCTGGCGGAAAGTAAGTTTGATGTCTGAGGAACGGAGAGAGTTGTTGAGATTAGAAAAACTGGAAATGTAGGGAAGGCAGAGGACAGAAGAGTTCCCAGGAGTAGAGAGTTTGGGAGAGAAGAAACTACGTTTAGCACGTGAGAAGGCAGTCAATGAAATGGCAAGGAGTTAGATTCCCATTCAGTTTTAAACTTAATGGAAGGGGCAAGATTATTAAGAGCATCAAGAAATGGTTGGAAGAGACGAGAGTCATGAGGCCACAGAGCAAAGATGTCATCAACGTAGTGGAGCCAGAGTGAAGGGCGCACATCGATAGTAGGAAGAAGAACAGTCTAAGGACTCTCTCCGACCTCTGTCCTCCTGACTTTGACCTTGTTCAACGTTTTCATGTCATATGTCCCTCTGTGCCCTGTTTCTATGGCCTTCCCAAATCCCATAAACCTGATATATCCCTAAGTCCTATCATATCCTCTAGAGGTTCTGTTTCTTATTCTCTTGCTTCTTGGCTGGCCAAAACCCTCACTCCCTTTCTGGGTACTTTTTCTCCTGCCCACCTCCATCACTCTCAGGACTTCATTGAATGGGTTCGCTCTCTCCCAACCTGTAAGATGCTTAGTTTTGATGTTGAGTCCCTCTTCACCTATGTCCCTCTTGATGATGTCCTTGATTTTCTTAGAAGGCCAATGAAGGGTTTTTTCATCTCCCTATACCTACTGATGTCTTTCTTGATCTTGTCTGCCTCTGTGTGGACTCTTAATTCCTTTTCCTTCCAAGGTAAATATTATTCTCAAACCTTCGGTGTTGCTATGGGCTCTCCTTTCTCTCCTGTCCTTGCTAATCTTTACGTGAAATACTTCGAGACTGTTCTTCTTCCTACTATCGATGTGCACCCTTCACTCTGGCTCCGCTATTTTGATGACATCTTTGCTCTGTGGCCTCATGACTCTTGTCTCTTCCAACCATTTCTTGATGCTCTTAATAATCTTGTCCCTTCCATTAAGTTTAAAGCTGAATGGGAATCTAACTCCTTGCTTCCTTTTCTTGATATTCATGTCCACTGCTCAGATACAGGTTTTACCTTTTCCGTTTACCGCAAGCCTATGCACAGTGGCATGTACATTCACTACTTTCCTTATCATGCCTCCTCTGTCAAGAAAAGTGTTCTTATCTCCCTCTTTCTCCATGCTTCCGCACATGTGATCCTCAGTTCCTTCAATCTGAAATTTCCACTCTTCATAATTCATTTTCCCGTCTTGGCTACCCTTCCCATTTCATTGACTCTGCCTTCTCATGTGCTAAACGTAGTTTCTTCTCCCCCAAACTCTCTACCCGTGGGAACTCTTCTGTCCTCTGCCTTCCCTACATTTCCGGTCTTTCTCATCTCAACAACTCTCTCCGTTCCTGAGACATCAAACTTACCTCGAGTTTACCTGGAGAGAGTTCCGGGGGTCAACGCCCCCGCGGCCCGGTCTGTGACCAGGCCTCCTGGTGGATCAGAGCCTGATCAACCAGGCTGTTACTGCTGGCTGCATGCAAACCAACGTACGAGCCACAGCCCGGCTGATCAGGAGCCAACTTTAGGTGCTTGTCCAGTGCCAGCTTGAAGACTGCCAGGGGTCTGTTGGTAATCCCCCTTACTTTCCGCCAGACCAACACTTCACACTAATCTCGTTCATACCTCTCCTCCTTCTACAGATGCTCCTGGTGTCTACTCTATTTCTTGTTCCTCCTGTCCTCTTCAATACTTTGGAGAAACTGGTTGTTCTCTTTCTGACAGAATTAGGGAGCACAAAAATAGTGTTAGGTTTGCCGACACTAACAATGCTCTTTTCTGTCATGCCAGAGATCACAGCCATCCTATTGACTGAGTCTTCTGATAAAACTGTCTTCCCTACTTCCAACTTTAACAGTCGCTGTCTTGTTGAATCCTCCCTAATACACAATTTTCCTTGCATGAATCTTAGTCCTGGCTTCGTCTCTGTAGATGCCTTCCTCTCCCACTACATTGTAAAATGCTCCAAACTTCAGAACACTCGTGACCTAACCTGGTTCCTCCTTTTTCTTCTCCCTCTTCCCCTTTTCCTCTTTCCTTTTTCTCCTTTGGGTTGTCTTTCTTCTGCCCTGTGTATTTATTCCTTTTATTTATTTTATTTTTTTTCCCTCTGCTCGTTACCTTGGGCCCTACGCTCCTGTGGCCCCTTCCTTACAGTGGCCCCCGCTCCTCTTAGATTTGACTGGCCCAAAGCTGCTTTACTGCAACGTTCCCCTATAAAATTTCCTCCCATCACGACTAATATACCATCAATTATCCTCAGACCCCTAAGGTTGAAAAAAAACTAGCTTAGCAGCTCAAATACTGTTTTCCCATTACCCGGAGGATAGTGCGCATGGAACCAATACTTATTGTGCATGCCTGGTACAATGGATCCAAATGAGGAGCTACTTGTGCACCCCATGGGAGACTTAGGTCTCAGACACTCCCTAAAGAGGGAGCCAAGGCCGGGCCACCACTTGGAAAAGGCCCGGGCCGGGAGAATACCGGCAAATCTTTAATAATAATAATCCTTTTCGTTAGTGTGACTTTGTAAATGGTCCAAGTCGGACCGAAACATCGTCGTAAACTTCTCTCTTCTATGTGCGGGTTATTTGTGTATTGTTCCAGTCACGTATTGTTCCTTTTTGTTATTTATTGGAGGTACCATGGTCACTAAATGATTCCAAAAAGTAACATCTTCACCATCAGATTGCAAGCAGTACTTCCCACCTAACTGGTTTCCTGAATTCCTTCATAAATATTACCTTACACTCTAACAGCACACAAAATCCCCAAAATCACATGTACTATTCTCTCTTATCTAACATGCTGGGTGCTCAAGCCCCTACTATGTATTTAAAAAGTCTTTCACTTCCTCCCTTCTCAGGATGACCCCTACTTGTCTGTCTGTCTGTCTGCCTCAAGTTTATACAGCAGTTTAGTTTTTTGTTCTGCTCTCTATAATTGCCAAATCATCTCAAGAATCCCTCCTCTGCCCACTGGATTATACCTTTTATACCCCCATTTCATCTACTGAAAATGAAGTACACAACTGTAATTAAGTTTAATGAAATTGAAGTAAGGTTAAACTTCAACATGTTGCCTTTATATGTAAATGCTTGATTTCATATTTTTGGGGGGAGGGGAAATTTGATTCTAACCTAAATTACACTGGATAGTTCTTTATGATGCAGGTTTTTTATTACACAAGCTTTCTCCCATGGTTTAAAGATCTGTCCCTGTGGGCAGTGAGGCAAAATGTGAGTTCACAGTAAAACCAACTACAAGTGGTGAACGTGCATTAAACATCAAATTCGACTCTCAGCAACTGGAGGATGTTGATGGGCTCACAACGGTGCAAGTTTCAGAGACCTTGCCTGTCTCTAACTCAAATGATGCTAATCACTGTAAGTACTAAGGTCATAACTTGTTCATGTAGCTGCAAGACTGATGACTTACAAAGGAGACCATGTGGTCTTCTGATTATCTTTTTTTTTTTTTATCTTTGCAATTGTTATTACTTTTTTCTCATTTTTATCTTATTTCTATGACATAGGAATACATACTAGATACTGCCTAACACTTTTTAAAATTTCTAGTTTAGTGTTAAAATTAACATTGAAGTATTATTCCGTATAAGGTCTCATGTGGTAATGTTACTTTCAGCTAATAGTGGTGATGCAGATTCAGACAAAACAGAGGAACCAGAGGAGGTAACCCCGGGTGGAAAGATTACTGAAGAAAATTAAATAGGTGTGCTAGAATAAAAGGGAGGAATAAATTGGGAAAATAATTTTCCTTAAACATACTGAATTATTGTATTAAGGAAAAGAATAAGAAACACAGTGTGCAAGATGGACAGACTTTTCCAGGAGTTTTGAAGTCTCTGCAGTGACAATGAGGAAGTGTGAAGCTATGTACAGTATTATAAAATTCTAGAGGATAACTTTTTTTTTTAAAGTGCCTTGAATTTTTAATCCTGCATTAATTTTATAAAGTGGGCAAACTCCGCCTCTTGGGTAGCAAGAGGCAGCTGTAGATATTGACGAAGTATTTTGTACCGACTATTAAAGTATAATTAATCTTTTATAAGACAATTAATATTTTTAAACAAAGGTTATTGCAATAGTACACTATGTTTATTATCAATAAAATACAACCAGTTGTATATGTTACATACAGTAAATAATTTTTTTTTTTCTCATGTTAGTGTTTAATTAGCCACTGCAGTATTACTCAGTTGGACCTCTCCCCAATACTAAATTACCTGTATTAAACTAAAATAATGCTTCATAGATTTTACCTTTATCATAATATCTCTGCATTTTAGATTTTTAGTTGAAGGGTACTTAATCCCATCCATCCCATTAATTCTAAATCTCTTAAGACATGGTAAAATCCAGGTTCTGCTGCCTTGACACTCTTGCAGTTGTTGCAAGAGACTTTACAAAATGCATTTGTAAGTTTACAGTTTTTATCATACCACAGTTTTGAATGAAACATTGTATTATCTGTGTAAGAATGTCATGCAAGGATGTATTTCAAAGTTAATTGTGTACATACTAAAGCCAATATGCAGCTTCTGTATTTTATAGACCAAAGAAAGGATCAGTTACATTTATTAGACATAAAATTATGCTTAAATGTTTTCATGATTTAGGATTTACAGCCAATTTTTCCAATATTCCATGCATTAAAATTAGAAAATGAATTAACATCTTAGCCATATATAGATCAGATAGCAAAACATTTATTTATGGTTAGTATTAGTCAGCATTGTGTAGCTATGATATACTGCTGGTGAGTATTGTAATTTAAGAAATAGTGTACAGTATATTACCCTGGCTTTCATATTTGTCTGAGGTCAGTATGTGTAGTGTTGTATTCGTTCCATGGCAAAAACAAATCTTAGAATTCTGGCTTCTAATTAAGCATATTTTTAATAATAAGTAAGATGCAGATTATGAAATTAATTCACTTCATTGTGATGGAGTAAGAGTACAAAATTGATGTGCATCACAGAATTATGTATCTTAATTTTTCAGTCACAAATATTAATGCCCAGAGACTATATAAACTATTACAGCTATATTTTGTAAGAGATTTTTATCGATTTTGATTTTTACACATTGCAACAAAAATTCTAAAATCCAGTTGAAGTTACTTTCTCTCTTCACCTGAAATGGTATAATTTTTTTGCAAGTGTATTTTATATTCATTGTTACCATTGTGGACATATATTTTTGTAGATATTTCTTAAAGCATTTGTTATAGTAAATCACAAATACATTTTGTAATCATAATAATGGAGTGAGATATTAAATATTTGTCCTCCATAAATAATACAAAAATATATTTTTAGGCATGCATGTATAAATTTCCTGCTCTCTATTACTGAATTGGAACTAAATCTTTTCTAAATAATGTTAGTTTTGTCTCAAGACATGAATAATTAGTCAAGTTAAATATTGATTGAGAGTGGAGATATATAATGATCACATAAATGTATTTAATGTTGAACCCAACGGTTAGACTTCATCAATACTTTTTGATATGTTTTAATTATAGTATACTTAAATTTAGCATTAAGCATGTGAATATGCATCCCCAGGGTGCCTCCTGTCATGCGTGTATCACTATAGGTAAACTTTCAGTCACTTGCTTTGCAATAATTTTTACTGTTGATGTGAGCTTTTTTATACATTAAAACTTATTCATTTATGATTTGACTTTGAAACTTTTTCCTATGACCTCATATAATTTAATTGGAGGGAGGGGGGTAAGAGGTTTTGTGTGCAATGGGCTTGGACATGCAGCAGGCATGTGTTAGCAGTGAATGGAGACGAATTGTATTTTGAGACCTGACAAGCTGTTGGAGTGTGAGCAGGGTAATATTTTGTGAAAGGATTCAGAACTGGTTAGCTGGATTTGAGTCCTGGAGGTGAGAAGTACAATGCCTGCACTTTAAAGGAGGGGTTTGGGATATTGGCTGTTTGGAGTGACATCTAAACTTGTATCTGAGCACCTCTACAAAGACAGTGATTTTGTGTGAATGATGGCGAGTGTTAATTTTTTGGGTCACTATGAGTCAGTAGGAGACAGCCGACATGTTGAAAAGAAAAAAAAAGAGTTTACTGGTGGCAGCTAGGAACTCTCTTGGGTTTGCTGGGAACAGAACATGAGTACTGGCATATGTAGTTCAAGGTGTCGTCCTTCTGTCACTTGCTATCACTTAACCTCTACAAACCTCACTTCATAGGAGTTCCTTCATGCTGATGATGGGCTTGTGATCCAAGGAATTTGAACTATCCTTCCTTTCCTCAGATGAAATGCAGTTGCCTCCCATTTCCTAGACACTGTATGACCCTTACAGGTTTAGCACTTTGTGAATGTGTGACAGTAGCAACCTGCCCATTTTTCCTTCATTTCAATAAACACTATTTACTGCTTTGGACTCTTGCTCACTGCCTGTGCATGCTTTCACAGATCATCTAGTCCACAGCCCAAGCAAAGGCAATGCTTGGGCTGTGGACTAGATGATCTGTGACAGGTCTGATCAGTCAGGCTGTTGGTGCTAGCTCTCCATATTGCAGACTGGCTCATCAAGATTTTGTAGAACTTATAAAATTATTATTATTATTATTCAAATAACCCGCACATAGAAGAGTCTCACTGTGTGACTTTGTAAATGGCCCAAGTCGGACTGAAACGTCGTCGTAAGCTCCTCTCTTCTATGTGCGGGTTATTTACGTATCGTTCCAGCCACGGTATTGTGCTTTTTGTTATTATTATTATTATTATTATTATTATTCAGGGAAAGCACTAAACTCATAGTTGTGCAGTGCCTGAAGAATGGAAGGCAATCAAGTTTGATCCAAGGAAGGAGGTGACAAATCTAATTCCTTGAATCAAGAGTCCTTCACCAATATCAAGGAACCTTCCTTGAGGCGAATTTAGTTACTGCATTATTTTTTTTTTTTTTTATTAACACATCGGCCGATTCCCACCAAGGCAGGATGGCCCGAAAAATAAAAACTTTCATGATCATTCACTCCATCAATGTCTTGCCAGAGGGGTGCTTTACACTACAGTTATAAAGCTGCAACATTAACACCTCTCCAGAGTGCAGACACTGTACTTCCCATCTCCAGGACTCAAGTCTGGCCTGGCAGTTTCCCTGAATCCCTTCACAAATGTTACTTTGCTCACGCTCCAACAGCACGTCAAGTATTAAAAACCATTTGTCTCCGTTCACTCCTATCAAATACGCTCGCACATGCTTGCTGGAAGTCCAAGCCCCTCGCACACAAAACCTCCTTTATCCCCTCCCTCCAACCTTTCCTAGGCTGACCCCTACCCTGCCTTCCTTTCACTACAGATTTATACACTCTTGATGTCATTCTGTTTCGTTCCATTCTCTCTAATGTACTATATTATTATTATTATCAAAAAGAAATGCATAACCTACTAGGGTCATACAGCAGGGGCAGGGAGTAATGCAGGATCAAATTATTATAATCAAAAAGAAGCACTAAGCCACAAGGGCTATACAGATGCAGGATCAAAGGATAAGTAAGGCTGGAGAAGACAATAAAAGAAGGGCTGTGAGGAGTGCTAATAGAAGGGTTATCGAAGTTTGTGTAATAAATCAGTTTGCTGTCAAAAAGTTGAAGAGGGTGTCTGTAGTTACTGCAACTCTTGAGGAGTATCTGAATCCTCTGCATAATGTAGACTGCAGATTATGTGTGTATATACAGTTTTTGAAAATATTTTTTTAATATCTTGTCTCCTGTTCTAATAAGGGGTTAAAGTATTTCACTGTAGACCTGTTCATTGTGGGTTCTTTGTGGCCAGTGAAGGGCTGTTGATCTGATGAACTGAACCTCTTCTCTCCTTTCTTGTAAAGTCTAAATTTTGACTGCCACACATCAGGGAAAAGTCATGAAGACTGGTTCATTTCCCAAGGTTAGGGAAGTGGGAATTTTCAAATTTTGAAATTTGTATGGGAAAGCTAACTCTTCAGTACCAATTTTACCTGGTGTAATAGACAACCAAATGTATAATGAGTAATTTGACTAAAGATTTTAAAAGTTTTCTTTTCAGAATCCTCTGTTCTTGCCCCTCCTCCTGGGGCATCAGGCTGGCTAGTGCATTATCTTAGTAGATTAGTGAAAGTTTTCTAATATAGTTCATTTTAGTTTACAGATTGTTGGTGATGTTCATGATAGATTAGAAGCCTAAAGAAACCTTGCAGAACTAATTTGAAGTGTAGAGGTGAGGGTTGTGGGCCTAACCATAAGTAAACAAAACAAAATTTAGTATATAATTGCTGAAGGATCTTTAATTTTCAGTTAGCTAAACATGTATCCAACATGAGGAAAGTAATCTGCTCCTTTCCCCTTTACTGAAGACCTCTGTTGGGAATAACAACACTCATAGAATAAAGACACTCTTTTGTTGAAGTCTTATTGCATTAGTGAGCCATTCCTTCTCAGGATCCAGCATTCCCATCAAATGAGCCTCCAGTAGGAATTTCTGGAAATGTGTTTCTTGGTGGTTGTTTGACTGTTTGAGCTGTTTGCCCAAAGACCTAACTAGCAATAATGGGACTTAGGTCACTGATTAACAATAACGAATGTTTAGTATTATAAACATTCTACCCTTCAGGACATTAAATCCACTCCTGTTAATAACCGAAAATGGTGAGCAATAGTGCCAGGGTAGGCTTCCAGCTGCAAGTTGAGAAAGTTATGAAATTACAGCCTGGGCATGGCAGTTCACCTAAGACACCTGGTTTTTGAAGAAAGATGCACACACACAAATGAATATGCACAGATGAGGGAGGCCCAGCGGCAATACGAAAATGACAGCAGTGAAATCAAAGTCTGACCCGAAGCTGTTGTACAGTCACATCAGGAGGAAAACAGTCAAGGCTGAGGAAGGAAGGAGGGAAGACCACAAGAAACAACCAGGAAGTATGAAGAGCTCAACATGAGATTTAGAGAAGTGTTTATAGTGGAGACAGAAATGACACCAGAAAACTGGAGTGGTGGGGTACACCAAGTGTTGGATACAATACATACAACCAAGGAGGAGGTGAAGAGGCTACCAAGTGAACTAGATACCTCAAAAGTGATGAAGCCAGACATCTCTCCCTGGGTCCTAAGAGAGGGAGCAGAGGCACTCTGCCACTAACAACAATCTTCAACACATCGAACCAGAGCGACTACCTGAGGTGTGGAAGACAGCAAATGTAGTCCCAATTTTTAAGAAATTAGACAAACATGCAACACTAACCTACAGATCAGTGTCACTGACATGTACAGTATGCAAAGTCATGGAGATTACCAGAAGAGTGGTGGAACACCTAGAAAAGAATGAGATTATTCTTGACAGCCAGCATGGTTTCCGGGAAGGGAAATCCTGTGTACAAAGCTACTGAAGTTTATTGACAAGGTGACAAAAGAGAGATGGGTAGATTGCATTTTCTTGTACTGTAAGAAGGCTATTGACACAGTTCCACAGGAGATTAGTGTAAAAGCAGGAGGAACAGGCAGGTATAACAGGGAAGGCACTGCAATGGATTAGAGAATACCTGACAAATAGGCAACAATGTGTCATGGTCCATGATGAGATGTCATAGTAGGTGCCTGTGATGAGCGGGGGTTCCGCAGGGGGTCAGTCCTAGGACTGGTGTTGTTTCTGGTATGTGAATGACATGATGGTAGGGATAGACTCAGTGTCCCTGTTTGCAGATGATGTAAAGCTAATGAGGAGAATTCAATCAGATGAGGACCAAGCAGGACTAAAAAGTATCTGGACAGGCTGCAAGACTGGTCCAATGATTGGCTCCTACAGTTTAACCCCACAAAGTGTAAAGTCATGAAGATCGGAAAAGGGCAAAGAAGACCGCAGACAGAGTGCAGTCTAGGGGACCAAAGACTAGAAAACTCACTCAAGGAAAAGGATGTTGGAGTGAGTATAATACCAAGTGCATCTCCTGCAGTGCACATCAACCAAATAACTGCCGCAGCATATGGGCGCCTGGCAAACTGAAGAATAGCATTCCAACACGTCAGTAAGGTGTCATTCAAGACTGTACACCATGTATGTCAGGCCCATATATAGCACCAGTCTGAAACCCACATCTGGTCAAGCATGTCAAGAAATTAGAGGAAGTGCAAAGGTTTGCAACAAGACTTGTCCCAGAGCTACAGGGCATGTCCTATGAGGAGAGGTTAAGGGAAATCGATCTGACGACACTGGAGGACAGGAGGGATAGGGGAGGACGTGATAACGACATATAAAATTCCAAGAGGAATTAACAAGGTGGACAAAGGCAGGGTGTTCCAGAGATGGGATACAGCAACAAGGGGTCACAATTGGAAGTTGAAGACTCAGATGAGTCACTGAGATGTTAGGAAGTATTTTGTCAGTCAGAGTTGTCAGGCAGTGGAACAATCTGGAAAGTGATGTAGTGGAGGCAGGAACCATACATAGTTTTAAGAAGAGGTATGATAAGGCTCATGGAGCAAGGAGAGAGTGGACCTAGTAATGACCAGTGAAGAGGCAGAGCCAGGAGCTGTGACTCAACCCCACAACCACAATTAGGCGAGTACATACAGACACACACAAAAAAGGAGATTTACTGGGAAATCCTGGAGCCACACTGGGACCAGAAATGTGGAAGGCTAAGATGATGGAGGTGGAACTGGAAAACCTCATACATCAACATGTTAGAGACACTGCCAGAGAGACAGGAGAGGATGAATCAGCAATGCTGGACCTAACATTCACCTTGAGTAGTTCAGACATTAGGGACATCACATACAAAAGGCCCCTCGGAGCTAGTGATCATGTGGACCTGAACATTGAATACACTATAGAGATAAAAGTGGAGAGGGAGGCAGCACAAGTAGGAAGGGAGAAGCTAAACTATAAAAGGGGGACTACATAGGCATGAGGAATTTTCTGGATTAGGTACAGTGGGGAAAAACTGGTGGAAAAAAACAGTAAATGAAATGATGGAATATATGACCACAAAATGTAAGGAGGCGGAGGAAAGGTTTGTAGCTAAGGGCCTCTCCAGGGAGGTTCCTCCCCTCAAGGAAGGTTCCTTGAAGTTGGTAGGGGCTCATGATCTAGGGAACTGGATCTATGCTCTGGTTTCCTGAATTAAGCCTGAATACCTTCCACATTCCCCCCACAGGCATTGCATAATCCTATGGGTTTAGTGCTCCCCTTTGATTATAATAATAATAATAATGAAGGAGGTTCCTTGATGCTGGTGAGGGGTTCTTGATCTAGGGAATTGGATCTGTGCTCCAGTTCCCTGAAATGAGCCTGAATACCTTACTGTTAGTGCCGATGGAGGTAGCGTAGGTAGCAATGATATGGCCGTGGACTAGTTTGGCTTTAATTGGATAGGAGTGAGTATACAACGGGCAATGTGAGGGAATGACCGATAGCCAGTCCGTGGAGGGGAGCACTTGTACCTCTCGAGTCAGTCAGCCGTGAAGTGAGACCGAGTAGGCCCAGCGACCCACTGACCTGGGTAGGCCTAGAGAGGGCAGCACTTAAGTGCCGCGAAATATGAACTAAGCTGGCAGACAGCATAGGCTGTCTGTGCTGACAGTACAGGCTGTCTACATTTGCTCGGCCACACACTACTGGTGGGCCCGTAGGTGCAAAAGAATTACTTACACTAGCTACCCCAGGGAGGGACTGGCTTTCACTCACTCGTAAATCAAAAATGGACATAAAATGCAACAGGCAAAAAAAAAAAAAAAAACTTCCCATCCAGGAAGAAGAGAAAACTGGCTTGCCCGCGCAGCTTCATTGAGGAGAAAGTCCGGAGACATCAGCACTGGAACTAAAATCTTCTATATACAGGTTGTCCGCAGGGTTGAACATCAGGCTTGACTATTCGTCTATGAACGCTGTTGCACCCTCACATCTGCAAACAATGACTGACGGTAGGATTTCCTAAGGTGTGACATATGACTCAAAGGGCAGCACTGCCCTGACCGCAATACAGGCTTTAAAAGATACACTGGGTGCACATACCTACAATAATACTATGTCCATGGAATTCATCATACTCTGGGTACCCTTCTAAAATTATTTACATACTTACATGATGATGTCCACCCTGACTCCATTATCCACTAACTATACAATGTGTGTGCATTTATACCCATTTCTGCAAGCAAACAAGCATAACTAGCGTAGGAGTCAGACAAGTCAGTAGGTACGTCAATGTCACAGAAATGTACTGTTGTCCTGGGTCGCAGGCCATAACTATGGAACCTTACTGGGCTGTCATCAGTAACAGTAGTAGTGGGAGAAGTAGTAGACGAGTTGTCCCTAGCATTGGTCTGATTGTGGCGTTGCAACGCACGCGACTCCAGCTCTGCTTCGGCTTGCACGTGGTCCACATACTTCACGTGATCAAGGTGGGCTTCTTTGATAGTTCCATAGCAATCTCCCTCACCTTGAACTTATTGCCACGGAGCTGTCGGAGGACACGGTAAGGGCCCATGAATTTAGGGACAAGTTTGTGCATACCTGGGGTCTGCACCAGGTTGAGCAACATAACTTTGCAACTTGGTTCCACTTTGCTTTCCTTGGCAAGGGCATTGCACTCAGATGTGAACCTATCAGTAGCTTTCATAAGGTTCTCTTGTAGCTGCTGGAAAACAAGCTGCATAGTCCGCATCTTTACTACACTGGGTTATCAGTGTCGTAAGTAGGTCGAGGCGGAGCAAACAAATTTCGTACGGTAAGCACTTGTCATAGCCATACAAAGCAAAATGAGGTGTCTCACCGATCGAGCTGTTGAGGGAGGAGTTTAATATACACTGAACATCTGGGATAGCCTCATCACATGTACAACTTGGGTTAACGGTTACCCTAGGCACCTCCAGGACTTTGCAATTTGTACGTTCAGCAAGACCATTACTCGCAGGGTGGCGTGGAGCTACTGGCGATTGGTGAATGTTAAATCTGGAGCAAAGATCCTGCATTATGGCATTTATGAACTCAGACCCATTGTCTGACAGAAGGACACGTGGGCAGATATGACGGAGAACAACATGCTCACAGAAAGCATTAGCAACAGTCTGGGCAGTTTTATCAGGAATGGGTACTAATTCAGTGTACTGTGTCAAGTTATCTACCATTACAAGCAGGTGCTTATTTCCCTTCTCCGAGGTCCAAAAGTTCGTCAACAGGTCGACGGAAGTTCTCTCCCAGGGCTCCTTTGTAATGGGATACTTTAGAATGGGGTTAGGACCTGTAACGGTACACTTGTGCTGTAAGCAAACAACACACTGGTGTACATGCTTGGCAATGTCCGCTGCCATCTTAGGCCAGAAATATTTCATTCGTGCCTGTTTGATACTGCGGTCCTTCCTGGGGTGCACTACATCTGGGACATCGTGGATCAACCTAAGAGTAGCTGGTATCATGGACTCCGGTATCACCAGTTGGTATATGGTTCTGCCAGGGTCCACCAGCTGTGCAACACGGCACAGTACTCCTTGGTTGACCACTAAATCCTTCAGTGGAACGGGAGACTTGACTTGTAAGTCAACGTCCTCCTTGGTCAGGAAACGAAGGACTGGAGACCACACAGGGTCCTGCCGTTGGGCTCTCTCTAAGATCCTCAACAGAGAACGAGTTGTCGACACTCACGAATGCTATATGCCTCGACAGGGCATCAGCTACAACATTTTGCTTACCTGGGACATAGCAAATTTCAGAACATGAGCGACCACCAAGCATGCTTTTCCGAGAGGTTCTTATTAGCGAAAAGGGCCAATAAAGGTAGATGATCTGTGTAAATCTTGATAGGATAATGGTAGATGATATCCCGAAAATGACAAGGCCCATATAATGGCTAAAGCTTCTAGCTCTGTCACTGAGTAATTGACTTCTGCTTTAGTAAGGACACGGCTAGCATAGGTAACAGGCTGTTGCTTACCATTAGATTCCAGTGACAAGACTGCACCGATGCCAACTTTGCTGGCATCAGTCGTCAAGGTAAATGCCTTGGAGAAATCAGGGAATCTAAGGACTGGGGCTGATGTTAACTTGTTCTTGAGAGTGACAAAAGCTCGTTCTTGATCACACGTCCACTCAAAAGGGGCGTCCTTCTTGAGTAAGTTTGTCAGGGGTGCAGCAATGGTGGAGAAACCTGCGATAAAGGTGCGGTAGAAACCCACCAGGGCTATGAAGGACCGGACTGCATCCGCCGTCATGGGTCTGGGGAATTTCTGTACGGCCGAGATTTTAGATTCGTCCGTCTTTATGCCATTCTAAGTCACTACGTGACCCAGGAATTTTATTTCCTTCCGGAGGAAATGACATTTGGATAGCTTTACCTTAAGGTTTGCCTGAGCTAGCTTGTCCAACACCCTGTCAAGTTTCTCGAGATGTGTCGGGACATCTTGCAGCATGACTATGAGATCATCTAGGTAGACCATGAGTGTGCCACCTAGGAGGGTACGGAAAATTGTCATCATCAAACGACTAAACGTGATTGGGCTTCCACGCAAGCCGTAGTGCATCCTCCTGAACTGGTAATGACCGTTTGGTGTAGAGAAAGCTGTCAACTCTTTGCTCTGGTCATCGAGGGGGATCTGCGGCTTGACAACTGCTGTTCTCTACAACAACGCTAGAGTTAGAGTGAAGGTTAGACTGGCATCCCCAGACTCGGTTTCACTAGTAACTAAGCGCTGATGGCCAGGAGGTGACGGGCAACGAGCTCTACTACGAGGTTGATCAGGACAAGAGACCGACCCCGGGGAGAATGTTCTACGGAAACCATCGGTTTCCAATGATTCCAGACGCTGTGCATACTCTGAGACAGAGTAGCACATAGTGAATCCTAAGCGCAAGCCACAGAAGGGCACACCCACTCCATTGAAATCTGCTTTTCACTCAGCCGGATCTAAGTGGATCCTAAGGTCTGCCATGGTTTTAAACCCTATAACCAAGGTACGGTACGAGTCTCTGCAACAACATCAGGGCACTCTGTTTCCTCACTGTCGGCAAGCGTATCACTGCCCAGGGCAGCGAACGCATCGAGGACAGGGACGGAATACAGCGACTCCGACAGGGTTACTACGTCCTTTCACTGATTTCTCGGACGTGCCTCTTCCTCCGAACTAGTAGGAAGGGCTCCTGCTAGCACGTGCATTGTGCAACGAATGCTTGCTCCGCTGCGCTGACAGGATACTTCGCAGCTTGTAGCACTCGTTAGAGGTATGACTGGAAGTGTTGTGATACATGCAGACTCCTTCTCGATACTGAGTGTGGGGACAGTGACGGTTACCTCGCGGGGACTTAGGTTTGTAACATTCGGATCGATAATGCCCGCGTTTGCCACAATTAAAGCAAGTCACCACGCGCTTAGCAGGTGGTGCTGGAGGTGGTGTGTGCTGGTGACGTTTTGCCTTGGTCGAGGAAGTCAGTGACGGCTTCTTTGTTTTGGACCGACTGTTGTTACTGGAGTCACTATTTTTACTCAGCCAAGTGCTAGTAGAACTGGGGTTGGAAGCTTTGAGGGCCGGCTGTCTGACAGCTGCGGCAAAAGTGACCTCCGGCTGCGCCTGTGGCATCGCTGTGGATGATGCCAGGAAGACGGGCATAGGATCGTCCGCAAAGCGACAAACCTTGCCTTTCTCAGCAGGCGGCTTGATTGCGTCAATGGCATTGTATGCACCCAGGACTGTGTGCTCAGGGCCGAGCCCTAGCGCATCAATGGCACCCTGGAGACTAGGGGGGGCATCCCTCCGCATGATGCCTACAGCTAGCATGGGGACAATGTCTTTAACCTTGATACTCTCGTCACCAGTCACCCACTTAGTGGAACGTATTGCATCACCAAAATATTTAGCAGCTTGCTCAAAACGGCAAAGGCAAGACAGGGGGCTTTCGTGCCTGTACTGACGTTTGGCCAAGACGCTGGTCAAGATCTCAAGGTAATGGCGTTGGCGACTACGCCGAAAATAGTGCCTAAATTCCTCCTTAAGCGCAACCCAAGATTGAATCTCACAAACGTGATCGAGTTGCACAAAGGTACCTATATCATCCCGGGTGAGATCCATTGCTGCAACAGCAGCACGAATGTACTGTGCGTCAGAGGGACTATCATATTGAGCCTTAACAGTCGTCTCGACTGACTGCAGGAATGGCTCTAACCTATTCGAACGACCGTCAAAAAAAAGGGTCAGGAATGGATGATAAGCCGACCCACTAGTGGTCGAGACTTGAGCCACGACTTGACCAACTGTAAGGGAGGCTTCGCCCTCCTGCTGCGTGATCACGCCGGCTGAGGCACCATTGCCAGCGTCAGCAGAAAATGGACTAATATTACGGCCACTGCGTGTCTTAGTCATGATGTCAATTGTTCAAACGCAAAGCAGGTCACAAAGAGGGTAAACAGATCAGAGCAAGAAATGGTATGCACTGGCTACAACTCAACACGGAGTCAGAGAGAACACAGCACCACGGTACTAGGTAAACTGCTTAGTGATTGAAATAATTTGAGCGAAACAACAACAACAAAAAATAGTGGTACACTCTGAAACACAAAATAAGAGATGTGTATGCAAGTGAATGAACTACAGGGGAATACACAAAATGATGCTAAGGGTATTTAATATTGCACCAGTAGACTGGCAACAAAATTTATGAAAAGGAGTTGAACTGTAAACACTGGTAGCAAAAATTGCACAAAATTTAAAATAAATCAGGTATTACACAACACTAAACTGTGCTGCAAGCTTTCTCAACATGCAGAAAAAGGTTGCAGGTGCTGGCAGTTGCAATTTGGAATGCAAAAAAAAAAAAATAATTCACTTGCACCAAGGGAGGCTGACACAGCAAAGATATCAGAGTATGGAATAGTGCCAAAAATCACAGAAAAAAATGCACTGTATCAAGAAATGCTATATTGCACACAAAATAAAATTAATAAAAATGCAAATTATTAAATTCAATAATAGGGCAATGGTTAACTGGTGTTAGCAGGGTGTACACTGGCAAAAGCAAAAATTACTCAATCTCTGGAACAAAATTAATAAACTTCACAAGTAATTTTGGTAATTAATGGTAAATAAGCAGGTTCCCAAAAATGCACTCATTGACTTGGGCATACACAATAGCAAAATGCAATGCACATTGGTGAATATTCACAGATAAAACATAGAATATAGATAAAACAGAATATATGTAGAGCAAATAAATGGGGACACAGGAGAAAAGTGCAAGGGGCTAGGCACAAATTGTATCACTGCAGGTAGAATAAACAAACTAATACTTAAGAACTTGGAGATTACACTTCAAAAAAAAAAAAACACTAACAAACAAAACTGTACAGGGTTGTCAACAATCTGTGGCTAACTTGCAGGTGCAACTATCAAAATAACAGCACACAGGAATTACTTGCAAACTGTATTATGAAAGGAAATTGTATAAATGGTTAACACTGAACAATTTAAGTCAATGACAACTGAGGTACAAGATGCAGAATAATATGCTGGAATTTAAAGTGCAGGAGTGCAAAATAAATGTACAAAATTTAAGAAGCTGTAGGTAAGTGGCAAAATGTACAAAGTGTACACTGATGTCTAAAACTGAACAATTTACTGAAAGTATGGCTTCAGCGACAACTGTACTGGTGCAGGACAGTTAAATAATGTCACAAAATATTAGGAAATGCTAGGTAAGTCACTGTTTACTTAACTTTGAGTGCAGGAGATGAACGAAGGTATGGTATAAGGTGCTGAAGGTCCTGAACTTTCAGTGATGCACTGGTAACACTACACGCCTCTTAGGATTTGTACACTGCTATGAGGCTTCAATGACGTAGGCAAAATTATCGAAATGGACTTGGAAAGAACAGGGAAGGCCGGAGAACTCTGTGAAGGGTAAATAATTTTAATGTCCAGTATAATAAGGAGCCCATCACTTTGGTTTCATCAGTAAAATATCTGGGAATCCCCTTTGACCCATGCATGTCAGGAGAATTGATATGGAACAGTGTAGTAAAGAAAGCGAATGCCAGACTGAAGTTCCTGTATAGACAAGCACAGTGTCTACCTAGTGAGGCTCGCAGGACTCTATGTCTAGCCCTTATACAATGCCATATGGTTTACGCTTGCTCTTCATGGTACTCTGATTTGACAAAAAAACTGAGATAGACTGCAAATCACCCAGAACAAAATCGTAAGATTCATCCTGGGGCTGGGACCAAGAGAACATGTAGGCCAGGATGAATTACAGCAGTTGGATATGCTGAATGTTGAAGACAGAGTAAAACAACTGAAGCTAAATCATGTTTATAAAATTGCTCACAAACAATGTCCAGAATATCTTACTGTCAATTTTGTCAAGGTTGGGAACCAAAGCAATCATAGTACTAGGGGGAGAGAGCACAACTTTGTAGTACCCACAGTCATTGGCCAGGCTTCAAACACCTTTTATTGTACAGCAATAAAGGAATGGAACAGACTACCCGCACATGTCAAAGCCAGTCATAGCATGAACCAGTTCAAGAAGAGTGCCAAAAGGTGTCTGATGAAGGTAGCTACAGAAAGGGAGGGGAATGATTTTCTATTTTTTAGCTAACATACGTGTAAATTTTAACTTATTCCTTGTAATGACCCTCGTAATGTAGATAGTCTTAATGACTCTCGTATAGTAGATAGTCTTTTTAGTATGATAATAAGATGTTATCTTCATTATAGAATAATAAGAAAATATTATAACCTTTATAGTATAATAATAAGGTAAAAGGACCCCAATGGAAATAAGTCACTCAGTCTGACTTTTTTGGGTTATCCCAGGTTCTCTACACATATGCTGCTATGTATGATAATTCTATGTAACTGTATTTGTGTATACCTGAATAAACTTACTTATTAAAACGTGGCGGGTGACTCGCGGTGCGTGGTTTGTTTACACTGGCAAGCGTGTCTGGGCGCGCTGACTGACTGCGGCTTCAGCACACGGAGAACAAAACACTGCACTACATGAGCGTGCTAAAAAAAACTTAGGTGAAGCTATGAACTGATACGAGGAGGTTTTACTATCAACACCAGGAATGACTAACTATGGCAAGACCATCTAATCAGTCATAGATAGCCATACAGAACAAATAATATCTCTTAATACAAAGGTTGAAGAAGCAGTAAAAGAATGGAAGAACAACTTAGATAACCAGTTCAGTGACTACTTTGCTCTCCAAGATAAAACTGAGCAAGATAAACTATCGGACGCAGCAATAGTTAACAGTCCACTTTCTCCCAGTGATATGAACCAAACAAACAGTAAAGAAATTACTATCCAGATCATAATCTTAAGTTAATTTTAAGTTAATTTTAAGCCTGCCCGTAATGCTATGCATTCAAGTGGCTTTGGCATGCTGCATTTTACTGTATTCTTTTGTACTTCACTGTATCATGTTCAAATTAATAAATAAATGAATAAAAAAATAAATAAATAAATAAAGGACCAAACAAGTGTTATTGTACCAGAGTCAGAAATAAAGGAAGCCAGGTTACTAGGATCCCATGGTAGAAAAAGTGTTATGCTTAGATTCCACTCACATGACAGGAAAAAAGAATTAATAATTGCATCTATTAAAGTAAAGAAAGAGGTATACATAAACGAGTGTCTTACCAAAAAACGTCAGAACCTCCTGTATAGTCAGAAAACTTAAGCGGGAGAATAATGACACAATACACCAATGCTTCACACGGGATGGGAAAATTCTAGTTAGGAAAACAAATGTAGGTCAACTGTCCCAACACGAATTGGCATGAAAAGATACGTAACTTTTTTGGGCCCTGAAAAACCCCCCTCTTTTTAAGGCATCCCCCCCAACCAGCGAACCAGGTTTGCAAAGAGTATTGAGGGGCCCTGTTAACTAGTGACCGGGTTTAGCCAATAAGAAGTTGGTTTTTGGCAATCGCAGAGGTTATGTGGGTCCCGCTCTCCTTCGCCCTTTCACCCCATTCTAGAGCGGGTTTGGGGAAGACGGTCTGCTATCTTGTGGTTCTTTTTCTCCCTTGCCCCCCGGGGAGGCACTATACTTATATGTACATGTGTAATTTTGGTTTTTTAAATTGGTGAAGGATAATATAAGTCTAAACTTTTTTTGTGTTTATTTTGTCCCTTTACACCGGGATAAAGGCCATTTGGAATCTGGGTTGTAATATGGGGGCCTGTCCGGGATCTGGGCTGGACTTTAGAGAAACGGGTTGGAGCTTAGGTGAAGCTCGTAGCAGGAAAAACATTGTGCAGCTTGCTATGTATGCAGTGCTTTAATAAATTTTGCGTGTCAGTTGCTTTGTTATGATCAGCCCTATGCTATTGTGTGAAATCGTTCAAACAGTCGCTAACAGCTTGTTCGGTTGCTTAGCTTCGCTAACGTGGGTCAGTCTTCTAGAACAGTGTAGCTGTCTGCATTGCTTTAACAAAATTTTGCATGTCAGTTGTTACTAGCCTGTTCGTGTATGGAGAATTTTGCAGTCTGGCTTGCTTGTATGCATATTCTGCAATCGTACTGTGCATAGCCTAACGTGTTCTGCCAAATTAACGTGTTCTTTGGTATTCTGCACTCGTATTTGTGCATAGCAAATAACTTATGCCACCTAAGGATTGAGTCAGACGTCTGAGTAGTCGGCATTATAACTTTGCATAACCTACCTAATTGTCCCTACAGCGTTGTTGCAAATTGCTCGTTATATGGCATTAATATACATAACGCACTCTCACACTGCGAACTGCGTTCACTGATGCTGAAAACTTATAGGAAGATATGGCACATCAGACCCTCCTTACGGGAGCTAGGGCAAAAACTTCCTTGTTCTCGCAGGAAGAAGATGATAGCACCTACAAGTCAAAATGGTCAGTTAGTGTCCTGGTTGTTCAGGGTGAACAGCGCTTGTTGGCATTGAGCTGCAAAAATCAATCTTGAGCGAAACTAGGGAACAGAAGCATTGCCAAGGGAAGAATATGATTGGGAATGAGAAAGGAGGCAGTTTTTGCATTCTGTAAATAATTTTAGTTTACAGAAAGTTGCAGTCAGTTTGTTCCCCGCTCATGGGGCCAACCAGAGCAATGTTTCGAAGCTTCGAAAATCAGGCTCGAAGGCCTTGAGGTGCCGAAACTTTTGGGCTCATTGGTTCATACAGCATTACGGGTAAAGGCACAGGAATTTACATCAGTATTAAATGGACGCTGAATTTTCTGATTATCAAGTGTGAAGACCACAGTGTTGGGGCATATACATTGGATCAGCAAATACAGATAAAATTTTTAAACTAAGCAGCGCGAGCTTGTCAATCCCTAGTGACTTTGTAGGACAGCAAACCATAGCTTTTACTAGCAGATATAAAGCAAGTGTGTGTCTCTACCTTTGAGGAGGCTGGTGCATGCTTTATTCTCGATTGATTAACTGCTGGAGTCTGTGGAACAGAGGTTCGGAGTCTTCTGCAGGGTCGTGACTTAACACATTTGCATTGAGGCAGCAGGTTGGTGCGATACCTTCGAAACTAACCGCTCCTTGTTCCGAGCGGTCAGTCTTCCTTCTCTATTTTCAACAGCCTGGCATGGCAAGATCGTCAACTTGGGAGAATGAAGTGCCAGCGAGGCAGATCGTCCTTACATCAGCAAACTAAGTCACCTGGTGGAGACACTTCTCAACATATGGTCAGCTGCGGAGAGGCAAATCACTCATGGCATCTCGACAACAGTATCCAGGAAGAACACGCAGGAACGACACCATTGAACACAGGTGAATTGCCGCCTAGAATAATGTACAGAGAACTACTTTCTCGCCGCCAATAACGGAGATTTAAACACCTCAATTATGGGAGCGCTTGAGGTTCCTAAACATGGTATTTCCTAGAAAGCAGTAGGCAGGGAGATTACATGATTATATACACCTGCTGAAATCAAGAGGGACTAGTACGAACATTGCATCAGAAAATACCCACTAACGAAGCCAAAAGACTTTGCTGACGATGCACACCCCAATGAAAGCGGAGGTGGTGTCACTTGCACATTAGTGACCATAATAAGTGTCAGGGGCCCAGGACGTTCACGTCCTCCGCACACATAAGGGGGATACCAACAGACCCTGGCAGTCTTCAAGCAGGCATGGACTAGAACCTCAAAAGTCAGTTCCGGATCAGCGGCTTGGCCCGTATTTGTTTGTGGCAGCAGCAGCAAAGCCCTGGTTGATCAGGGGGCTCTCTGAATTCCACCGGAGGGCCTTCTCAGACGGCACCTGCGGAGAGGCGTTGACCCCTGAACTATCCAGTAAACTCCAGGTAAACTTCATCGCAGGGAGTAAAGGGCAAGCCTGTCGTCTGCTTCCTCTGCAACAAAGTAGGTCACATCCGTCCCAACTGCCCCCATAAACCCCAACACCATTGGGAAAATCTCTAATATCCTAGTAACATGTCCCTAGAGAAGTAGAAAAAGGTATGGCCCTTATTATTGCAAGAGTCTAATTTCCCTTCAGGAAAACTCAGAAACAACTAAAGTAAAGACCTTTTAGAGATACTGGAGCATATTGCTCACTTGTAAGAGAAGGATATTACCCTTTCAGAGAATACTTCTTTGAATTCCTCTGTTTTATTGGAAGCATTTGGAGGAGCTATACATTCTGTTCCTTTGCATAAAATTTATGTACAGTGCAAATATTACACTGGGTACTTGACTGTAGGTGTCTCAAAAGGATTCCCCATGAAAGATGCCATGTTATTACTGGGTAATAACATTACTACTGTTAGTTCGTGTCCTGAACCTATAATGATTAATTCTTCTCGGTGTTGGCCATAACTCGGGCAACATCCCAAGGGTTGTCTGGAGAGAATGTTGACCTATCCTTGGACGACTCTGATCTCGGAATAGCCACGTTGTTTTATGAGGCACACCGGCCGGAGCCTCGTAAATCAAGTGAACAGACCCCGATCAAGCCTTCCTATTCCCAGGTTGCAGGATTGCCAGATGTCTGTTTCCATGCCCGAGGGACTGTCCTTCCGGGAGGAACAACGAAAGGACCCTTCTTTAAAATTCGCTTTTCAGGCAGCCATGGGTAAATCCTCTTTGGGTCATCCGGTCAAGTATGAAGTTAAAAACAATTATTTGATCTGCACTGAGACTGGTAAGGAGATAGAGGGCCGGCAATTGTTTAACAGGTTAGTAGTTCCAACAAAGTATAGACCTCAAATATTAAATATAGCTCATAATACGTCATTAGGAGGTCACTTAGGAATTACAAAAACCTTGTATAGAATCACAAAAGAATTTTATTGGCCAAAATTAAAGAAAGATGTGAAGAATCATATTAGGTGTTGCCGAGAATGTCAGCAAGTTGGGAAACCTGGACATTCCATTAAACCTGCACCTCTCCAACCTATACCTGCTGATGGAGAACCTTTTGCAGATTTAATTATAGATTGTGTAGGTCCACTACCTAGGTCAAAGTCTGGAAATCAGTATTTATTTAAGATTATGGATAAAGTAACCAGATACCCTGAAGCAATTCCCATGCGTAGTATTAATACTAAAGCTATTCTCAAAGCTTTAACAACATTCATTTCTTGTTTTGGCATTCCTAAAACTATTCAAAGTGATCAAGGTACTAACTTTACTGCCAAAGCATTTAGGGAAGTATTAACTAGGTTAGGGATAATCCACAACTTATCCACTGCCTATCATCCTCAGTCCCAAGGTGCCTTGGAAAGATTCCATCAGACATTAAAAACAATGAGAACTTTTTGCATGCACTTTCCTACAGACTGGGATGAATCACTACCTTTGTTGCTGTTCTCAGTACGAGAGACGGTGCAAGAGTCTACAGGGTATAGTCCGTTTGAGCTGATCTTTGGGCACAATGTACGAGGTCCTCTTCGGGTGCTCAAAGAAGGATGGATGGGAGAAGACGTTAGCTCAACACTCTACAACCCGTCTTCAA